CCCAAATTCCTCGTCCCCACTGTGGATCGCCAGTCTCTCTTAAATTTCTTATGTATTCAACATTTCTTAGTTTCTACATACATTCCTTCCCTTCTACGTTAAACCTCGATAATTAATCTCGATTGCCGAGTCAGATATAACTTTTGCAAACTGTTCGGAACTCAGATAAATCACATATGTTAGCTGCTCGCTTAATGGTGTGAAACATTACCTCGCAGCAGTTAAGGTTTGAAACGAGCCAGTCGACCGTAGCTCATTAGCTATTTAGAGCCGGTTACACCAACGTCACTTAACGCTAAGTGTGTTTACTCAATTTCCCTGCTCTATTCGCAACGTTCGAACTAGAGACTACGATTGCGAAAGGGCTGACCAGCCGAAGTCGGTGTTGATGAGACCAGTCCTTGAAACCGGTCAATTAGTTCAAAACACTCGTCTGTTCGAAAATACAAACTACCACGATCCCGTGGCGTTACACGCCAAGGCGCCATTAAACAGAATTTGTTACTTTGTGACGTTTGACGTGCGACGTTCGCTCATCGGCAGGTAAGAAGCCGCAGAAAAAGTAGAAGAACACGAAGAAACGATGTTTCTGAGAACTTGGCCGCGAATGCCACGGGGGTTGCAAGTTCCGGCGACCCGGGTTGTTGCCTGGCAACCCGGGCAACCAAATCTAATAGGAAACTCATTACGGCCAGGTCTTCCGTTTCACCAAACTAAATTCTTGACTCCACCCTTTCCCTCCATCCTTCTCACCCCCTCCCTCCCCCCCCCTCTCTCTCTCTCTCTGTCTGTCTTACTTATCCCGTTCGCCGACGCGACAGCAAACTCCGCCGTTCTCGTCCATCACCTTCGTTGCATACAGGGTGTCTTAAAATCCTCTCGCTTTAAGACTTGAACGAAGCAGAATTACGGAAATCACGGAACTAAAAGTTCTAGCAGAGTGGAGAATTTAAAGAATTGAAAAAGCGACACTTTAGATTTGGGCTTGTTATTAATTACCTTAAGACCTCCTGTTCGCCCACCATTATTATCTCGGTCATTAGACCTGTGTCATTAGAAGTGAGAAAAGGCACAATAGAAATTCCTACGATATATACATTCGAATAAAAATATTTGTCAAAACCACATTTCTATAGAATCGATGGAACAGATTACAAAATATACCGAAAACTAGCTTTTTACTTCTGTATATATTATTAATCGCGATCATAGTTGTGAACACGTCGTCCCATTTCATTTTTAATTGTGCACAATTCCATCAGGTTTACTCGTTAATTAACGAAACAAGAAGAAGTTTGCGAATGCATTTTACAAATCGGTTCTACCAATTATAAATTATAAAGTGGCGAGTGAATAGGAACCTTGAGAGATTCAATTATTAGTTAATCTTACAGTTCTTGTAAGATACTGCCAGACGCTAAAAAGCTAATTTACGTACCAATTAAGAAAAGCGCGAAAAAAAAAGAAGATAATAATGAGAGGAGTAGCGTTAAAAGGGTGTTTCTCATGAAGATAAATTCGGAAAAGTGATACACGACGACAAGCAAGTAGTAAATCGAAATTCTGGAATTTCGATTCTGTCGATGGTGGAAATGAAAAAATAAAAGAGCCGCGAGAAAACAACCGCAGAGGGGATCGGAATGAAATGGCAACGCCTAGGAAATTCCGCACTCCGCAACGGCCGTATAGTTTTTTTCTCTCGCGCACCTCCGCTTTTTTTTCCTCCCTTCCCCCCATTTTTCTTCGTTTCGAAAAATGATGCGACGCTTTGTGAGCGCCGCGCCGACCGGCGATATCCACCGCCGAGCCCTATTCCCTTCCACCCACGCGCGTGTACACCAGCGTGTACCGGAAAATTTAAATCAACGAATAGCGTTCAGCAGTTCCATTGTAACGAGAAGAATAGGAGACGCGGAAGCGCAGCGCGACAGATACGCCGGAGGTTGAATATCAAATGGGACATGACCGGTGCTTTATTTCTATTCCGCTTTCATGTTCTCGCACCTCTCCGGTGCGTGTGAACGCATGCGAAAGAGCTTTGTGCGTTTTTTTTTCCCTCCCCCCCCCTCTTTCCGAGCGTAAAGCGCGAAGAATCGTTATTGGATCGGACCAGACATGGCCCGAGGGTTGGAAGCGTAGACGAGGAGAGACGCCACCCGCCATAAGATGGAAAAGATTGTACGAGACGATGCAAACGTCCCATTACACAAAAGTCTCGGAAGATTCTAATCCTACAGGAATTCAACGTCACAAAAATTCAAAGGGAGACGCGAAGGAGGTACGAAAATCACAATCTCAACAATCCGATCGATATCAGATTGCGTCACTAACGTCCTATTGAATAAAAGTCTTGGGAGGCGGATACAACAAGCGGTGAGAACTCAATCTCCTATAAAACTTTAAGAGGTAACAAAGCCCAAAGGGAGATAAGGAAAAGTAAAAGATACGAATATTCTCTGCAAAATTTTTAGACAATAATCGTATCATATACGATTTAACTCTAAAGTAGCTTCTTCAGATGTTTTCAAACGTCTCCTCTCCTTGCGACGAGAAAAAAATTTCAATTGTAAGATATTATTTTCTATAAATATTGTTTAACAGATTTTCCTTCTTTTTTCAATAACTATTCTTTATGAATCTTTAAATGTGCAACTCCATCAAAAATTCACAACAAAAAGTGTTATATTTAATAAGATCTTAACTTACTTTCTATAAATACTTTCATAATGAACCACTTAATATGCTTATTCCATTTAATTTTTATTTAATCTCTAGTTGCAGAAAATTATTGTTATGAATTCATATCCATAATATTTTCAAATACTAATAAAATGGGAAAACGAACGATAACATACAATATGCTGTTAACAATCGTGATTTTAATTGGGATGTAAAAATATTCCAGATGATCGTTAACGTGGAAAAAAATCAGGTAACTACTTCAAAGTAAAAATAGGAAGATATTCCATTATATTCAACAATACAATCAAATTAATATTATTTAGAATTCATTGAATTAGATTGGTTGTGGATGGCGAGGATCGATACTATGAAATGTAGTCTCGAAGAATCAAATTAAACTGAATTCAAGATTAAAATTAAAGATTAAAATTATATAATAGTATGATGGTTCAATAATTTAAAACAAGTTAACAGAAAAAAGAAAAACGGCTACGAGCCAGAAATTTTACGTATAAAATTGGTAGATAAGTAATTGTCTTAATAAATTAATTATGAAATTTGAGATTAAAGCTTAAAAGTTGAAACGTTTATTTAGCATGTCCGTCTCTAAATCTTTTATTCTATTTTATTTTTTAACTTGGAAATCCTTAAAATTAATTGACACAATTTGTGAAAGGTCTACGGACAAAGTTATCGGAAAAACTATTTCTTTCTTATTTATGAAAAGACTGTTTTCCAGTAAAACCAGTATTGCAATTCTGTTTGTAAAAATATGAAAGCTCTTGAAAATAACACAGCGATATCCTATATATTAGCAGTCGTATGGAAAATTTTAAGAAACCGGCCTTAGCCAATCCAAGAAGAATTCAAAATAAAATAAAAAAAATAAAAAGGGAGCAAATATTTCCCTATCCAATGATTCAATTAGATGGATATTTACGAAACGATCTGCAGGAAATCCTATTTGGTCTTATAAAATTCTACGTGGTCCTACATAATCCTATAAAGAAATTTAGAAAGGGGAAAGGTTGGGCGTTTTTCCACTCAGCGTAGCTTTCCAAATTATCGATTTGGCAAAACCGGTGGGGAAACAGTCGGCGCAACATCGTTGACCTAAATCCTGGCGACAGTAACGCCTCCCTAAAGTTAATGAGCACTGGCAAGTATATACACGCGGCTCATAATGGGAATAACCCTCTTAGCTCCGCGAAGAACAATCTCCAGTATGTCGGCGGGTAAATATGATGGATAATTTAATGGCGCGGCGTTTCATTACGTACGACGCCTGCGAGGGAAACATACCGACCAGGTATGGAGTCTTATTGCAGTGGTGAATTATCACGTCCGAACTTGCCAGCAACAACAATCGTCGCTCGCGATTTAATTCGGTCGAATGAAAGGAAGGAAAAGGTGGAAAGCCCCTGAAGGGTCGGGCCTGATTCGATTAGCGCTAATCTAATTTCTTCTTCTATCTGTATTAAAAGAGATTCGAACTAATCGACTACACGGCTAACACTGACACTGCTGGTAATTCCTGGTTTCGTCTAAATTATTAATTCAATAATTAAAGATTATAATTATCGCGGAAAGAGAGAGAGAGAGAGAGAGAGAGATACTTATTTTTCACTAAATGGCAATATCGTTATATGGGAATATTAAAATTTATAATTCCATCTATGTTCCTGTGGTCTATAATTGGATCTGGAAGAAGAAAATAGCTGCCAATTACCGTACGCATAATTATAATACAATGAAAAGTACTCAACCGTAATGATATCTCGTTATTATTCAGAGCGCGTAGTGTCGAAATTTCTTCGTGTTCTTTCGCGAAATTGGCGTTTCGGTATTCAACCGTAAGATAGGACTACGAAACCCCGATAGAACAAATACGAGAATAAATATGCACAAGCCTGGACTGCTGGCAGATTTACGAATCCAGATTTATTTGACGGAAACGGAAGGGAAAGAGTAAAGTCGGTCTATTGACGAATGTATTTCGACGAGGACGAAGTCGAAACAGTTTGCGTAGTCATGACAATGCTGAACCCGACAAATCGGGTAAGACTGTCGCCAATGGCGCCATCCGGCCGTCATAAATATCACCTCGACTCCGCCAATTGATAGCGATATCTCGCTCAGCGAACGATACACAAAGTAGGACGTGATACGCGTCTGAACACTAAATCATACCCGCTGCTCGCCAGAGCCAATCTCTACATCCCGTAGCCATTTAGCTCTTTCACGCGGTAGGGTCGCGCGGTTCCTAGCAGTCGAAATAATTCACGTAACAGACGCAAAAATCAATTAATATTTGCAAGCAGAACGTGCGTAAATGAAGTTTAGCGTAACAACTTGCAACACTTGAGTTTTTAATTATTTTTTATACCATTTTTATTACTTTTCTTTATTTGTATTTTGTTCTTTTAATTTGTATGACTTTTTTCAAGAAACGTGTTGACTCTTATTTCGCCCTTTATTCATTGTTATTTATAACAACCGAAATTGTGTATTGAAATTTCTAAAACATATTGTAATTTCAAACACAAAAATTGGAAAAGGTCCTGCAAGAAAAACATCCATTACATATTGAGGAACGGAAACCGATCGAAATTTGTTCCTTAATGTTATTAATCAATAGAAATAAAAATAAATTTGCTAATAATCTTTAAGATTTGGAAAGATCTCTTTCACATAATCGTTTGTGACACTTATCGATTATTTATTATAACTAATAACGATACATGTACCTAAATTTATTAAACAAAGAAGTCTAAGAATTTTTTTAGAATCTTTTAGTACTGCATTTTCTTATTTTTATTATCATGAGAAAATACGGTATTAAACAATTCTGAAAAAATTCTCAGAACTTTATGAGAAGAAAATAAACAATTTTTATCTCTTATGGTTTTTTTTGTAAAATTGATAGTGTTTGAGAAAAAAATTATTAAAGACCAATATTTGGCCATTTTTAGTAATTAATATCTTGTTATTGCGAAAATTGCAAAATGGTATAAGACTTTTTTATTCCCCTTCCATTCTACGCCCCCAGTGTGGCACCGTCCTTAAGAGACACCCTGTATAGAAATCATTAATGAGTGAAATTACACCTCTATATTTTCCTTTTCCTCTCACTTTTCCCACTCGGACAAATCCGAATTTCGACGACCAATCCGAATTTCGTTCCCACGTTTATCTCATCTGTCATTTGACGGTCCGCGACATGCGACGTTTGAAGTTAAGCCCATCGACGGTAATTCCGGTGTGATCACGGCGATGTTATACTAGCCGTAACCGTCGATAATGGACACCAGGAGCAAATGCTGTAAGCGGTGCTTGTTTTGATTGCAGGCTTTCTAAATGCCAACACAGACTCGCACTTACGCTCGCCAGCGAATTACGGTCTGATGGACCAGATCGCAGCGTTACATTGGGTACAGGAGAACATCGCTTATTTTGGGGGCGATCCCAAAAACGTCACGCTGGTAGGACACGGCACCGGCGCCGCTTGCGTGAACTTCCTGATGACCAGCCACGCGGTTCCTGATGGTGAGTTACGCTTTCAGCTCACATTTGTAGCAAGGCTACCATCCCTCTGGCTTTCGATCGAAGACGCCGGTATTTTAAACGAATCTCGAAACCCTCTGATAGAAATATCTCCGACTAACCGCTTAATTTTGATCAATCAATTCTTCTCAGGTTTCAAAAAGGAATCTCCCACAAAAACAGAGCCAGATCTAATGATTTTTTAAGAGAAAATACTATTTTTTCGGCTGTAAAAAAAATAATCGACCGCCAGGAAGGAGGGTCATAGATTTCCAATGCAATACTCGTCGAAAGGTGGCAGTTATAAATACTCGTAAATTTTCAATTTGTACATATTAATGCAGAAACGCTTCTTCCCACGAGATACAAGAATAATTATCAGAATATGTATGTAAAACGATTTACGTAAACTTTGTAATAATATAAATGAAAAGCTTCAAGTAATACGTGTAAAATAAATGGTAAAAATTTTTGATAGACAAATCAATTTCATTGAAAATTGACCGAGATTTACATTTACAGAAAAATCTGCAACCAATCTGCATACGTGAAATACATTTTATATGCATTTTGCAAAAAACAAATTAATAGTAACATTACACCAATGTTATATATAATTTCCTACACTGAAATTAATATTAAGTGAAAAATTAAAATATTCGCATATTACTGATAATATACATTTGTGTTGTCTGCGGGATATCGTGTAACAGAATATCGTATAACTTGATTTGGAAAGAGTAAAATGTATTTTCGAAAGTTCGTTAGCTCTTGGATACTTGTATACTGAAATGTTCTTGTAACAGTTTATTGTCTTGGACCAACCCATAGAAAGCTGTTTCTCTTGTCGCGTTACAAGGGAACAGATAATGTCACGTAGAAACGGTAGAGCGCAAGAGGGGCACCAGAAGGGTAGAGGTCGAAGAGCGAGAAGCCGCACGAGACAATGATACGGAGAAGCTAGGAATAATGGGGTGGTTTACCAGGCGCCATAAATTATAGAGGAATCAGCTGGCCCCACCACCATTGACAACTCACAGCTGTAGTGAATTATTATCCAGGAGGTCCTCCGACGATAAGCTTTGCGGTTCCGAAACAGATTGCAATACTCTGTTTTTTTGTCTCCTCGAACTGATAAACTTGAGCCGGTATTACGTGACTCGTCGAAGAATAATACGACGAAGAATAATAGCGATATCCAGCTAAAAAATTATACCGTATCTCTGCCTTACGAGCTGCTATTTCCCTACAAAAACTGACCGCGATTCGGCGATAAATAATAAAGAATAATAAAGTTTTAAATTCTCTCTCTCACACACACACTGTGTTACATACATATATCTTTAAATTTTTCGGAAAATTCTTTTAATTTCTGGTTTTAGTTGTTCAATTTAGAACTATCTGTGATATTTTAGTATTTTCGGAAATAATAAATTTGAAATAATTAAATTCTTCGATTTTTTTTTTCCAATTCAAATTTCCGTAATTCATCTAGATTTTTATTATTTCCATTTCGGCTTTCATTAAATATGTGCATCTCATCTCTTCATATCTTGTATCCCCTGCTTTAACAAATCCCGAAATTTTCTATTTCTTATATAGTTCCCCGTCTTCTTTGATTCTGTCTTGAATAATTTATACGCTCGAATCTTTCGGATCTTTAACTTCTCCGAATCCTGAGATCTCACGATTTTTCAATTTCTCTATTTCATCCTGCATCTTAACTTTCTTGATTTTTCGATTCTTATGAATCTCAATTTCTCCCTTTCTCTCTCTTTTTTTTTTTTTTTTTTTTTTTTCCTTTAAATCGTGATATTCGGATTTCAGTTCCTCCTTTCCTTTGATCCTACAGCTTTAATTTGTCGAACGCTTGGCTCCTGGGATCTTGTTCCCTCGAAGGAATTAATTAATCCTTGGGTATTATAGAGACCTGCCATTAAATCCAAGTAACGCAACGGAATTTGAGCCAGTGATAATCCTTTAATGTCGCGAGCTTCGACACCATCTTATCGTTCGGTGTCGTCCTCTCGACGACGACGGATATCGGAAGAACGAGGCCATCTTGATTCTGTAATGTCGGAAATACGTCGAGGATGCCGCCAGGATATTCAGAGTTTACCCTAGTATCTCCTTCGCTAAATGAATGAGAGCGAATCAGACGTGTATCGGGATAACATCACTCTCGAAGACATATTTCGTCGAATATCAAGATGATTGACCGACCAAGTTACACATTTATGCGTTGGAAAAACGTCACTTTTATATTAACTATTGAACAAACCTTTCTTATACAATACGAAGTGTCTTATAAGACCGTAATATGACTACACAACAAATTGGAAATAAAGCACTAAACCTTCCTCGTGTTGCGCGCAAATTATTAATATATATAATTGTATATAATTGAGAATAAATAAATGAAAAATTTAGTAGTAATAATAAGAGCAATAATGTAATAAATAATTAATGAAATAATAATATAAAAAGAAGTGAAATAAAAGCTGCCTGTTAGAAATTAATTAATTACATGTAACAAATAAAGAAGTGTTTTTGTACATCTTGATTAACACTGTGTATGTTGAGATTTGGTACGTGTATACGAGTATAGTATCTATATGGAATTCTCTCGTCTCCTCGAGATATCAAGATTAACGACTCACAAAATTGGGATTAAGCGACTTATCCTGGTCTTCTGTATTAAATAATAGATGAACTAACACGACGAAGCTATGTAACATCATGTTCGCTCTACCGCCTTAATTTTCTTGGCGCTACAAACCGTGCTCTCTCTCTCTCTCTCTCTCTCTCTGTCTCTTGTCTATTCATGTCTTACGTAATGCCCAATTTTGCGACGTGTGATGAGAAAATTAATGACTAATAAGCTCTTCTGCTCGACTCTTTGTTATAGGTACTACATTTTATTATTACTACCGAGAAAGAACTTTTAGTATTTTATTTTCCTCAATTTTCTCCGTGCAAAACATAAAAATTACTAATTAAATAGAAAGATGTTTCAACAGTCGGGAATTAAGTAAGAATTCATTTACTTAATAATTCTTCCCTTTACGTAATATTAACATAGAAATGATGGCGTAAAAATGTAGATGATAATAATAATGAAGCAATTTTTATAATGTATGCTGATGCAAGACAGATTGCAACTGAAATGTTCTCTATAAAAATTTTCTCTACAAAAAGTGTTTTTCGATATCGTATTTTTCAATACCGCACCACATTCATCTTTCTAGTTTAGACATCTAGTATATGGCCATGTTCGGCGAGTTTGTGTACCCCTCATCTTTAGAGCGGAAATCACTGATAACCTCGTAATGGAAGTCGTTGATTGGAAATAAATCTATCGAGCGGTCGAGATGAGTATTCGTTACTATGCATTGAAACTCGGATTGTATTTCGTTTACTCAGGTAATATCGTAGTTCCGTCCGCGAAGGGAATCGACCCCGAAATCATCTCGAAATTCAATTCTACGTCGCGACATATAATCTCTTCCTACGCGAACAAACATTTTTGTATTACGAGATACGATTTGTAAATCCCGAGATAAAGTCAGGTCCTTTCGAAAAGTGCGACACGGAGATTCCACGCGTCGTATGGATTCCGGAATCGCATCTTGAATCGCGCAGCGATTCTAAGATATAGAATTTTTACGATGCAGAAAACATTTCCGGGAACATTTCCTGGCGCACAAAGAACATAAAGATTGCAGCGTCGCTGGAATTGTACGGAACAATAATAATGACAGACGGGAAATATTTAAGAACTAAAGATCTTACGCAAAGTATTGTTAATAATTATACAATTACACTTTTATTTACATTACCGTACCGAGCAAGATCTTCATTAATTTTCCGGGCAGACAATTGAAAACGAAAATTACAGAACCATCATGTTAGACGTAACACTTCTGTCCGTTCCGTCAATGTTAAAATTTTGGATGAAGAGCCTTGCTACAGGAAACGCTTAATTTCTGAGATGCTCAATATTAAAAAGCGGAAAAATAGTTTCAATTTACAAACTTCATAAGACATATATACGAGTGTAATCGACATACAATACCCGTCTTACACATCTACGTTCCATTAAACTCTGTACATTTCAATTGGTGATGATTTTTTGGTGAGTTTTTTTACTTGTTAGAAATCCGGTATGTTAATTTCATTGTGTTTATTATTTCGCAAGAAGATTTTTTTCTCTTTTTTATTCAGCT